AGAAAGATACAAGGCTAGGTTAGTGGCTAAGGGCTATACCCAACAAGCTGGGGTGGACTATGCAGAAACTTTTTCCCCTGTTGTCAAGATGGTCACTGTCAGAACTGTTTTGTCCTTAGCTTCTATGTATGGATGGCCACTCTATCAATTGGATGTTGATAATGCCTTTCTCCAAGGTGATTTGCAAGAGGAAATATATATGACTTTGCCTCAGGGATTTGTTAAGCAGGGGGAACAGAATGTAGTATGTAAGCTTCACAAATCATTGTATGGTTTAAAGCAGGCTTCTAGAGCCTGGAATTACAAGCTTACACAGGCTTTAATTGTTGGAGGTTTTAGCCAATCAAAATCAGGTTACTCCCTGTTCATTAAAAGGGTTGATTCTCATGTTGTGATATTATTAGTCTATGTGAATCATATAGTTATCACAGGCAACAATGTTGAGATGATTCAGCAAACTAAGGAACTCCTGCATTCTAATTTCAAGCTAAAGGACTTGGGTTTGCTGAGGTATTTTTTGGGATTTGAAGTAGCTAGAAGTCCTAAAGGAATCGGCTTGTGTCAGAGAAAATATGCCCTAGAGTTGATTTCAGAATCTGGTTTATCAAGTTCTAAACCATCTGCCATCCCAATGGATTCAACTTTAAAGTTGACATCTGCCACATATGATGAACTTTTTCGTACTGAACCAGATCCATTGCTTCTTGATCCTAGTGTTTATCCGATATTAGTAGGTAAGTTACTGTATTTGTGTATGACAAGGCCAGACCTGAGTTTTTCTATCAATTTGTTAAGCCAGTTCATGCACACACCCAAACAGTCACACATGACTGCAGCTCTTAAAGTGGTCAAGTACATGAAGTCAGCTCCAGGCCTAGGCTTGTTCTTTCCAGCAGAAAATGACATGAAATTGACAGCTTTTTGTGACTCTGATTAGGCATCTTGCCTAATGACAGGATATTGTGTTTTCCTTGGAAAATCCTTAATCTCATGGAAATCTAAGATGCATGCCACAATTTCTAAATCATCTTCAGAGGCAAAGTGTAGGGCAATGGCTTCAACCGTGTGTGAACTCCTTTGGCTGGTGCATCTATTCTCAGAACTTGGTTTTGCTAAGTCTAAATTGTAGCCTATTCCTCTTTATTGTGACAACCAAGCTGCCAATCATATTGCCTCTAATCCCATCTTCCATGAAAGAACAAAACATATTGATATTAATTGCCATATTATAAGATATCAGCTCAAGCTTGGCTTCATTACAACTGTTTACATTCCTTCACCAAAGCAACCAGCAGACTTATTAACTAAAGCTCTCAGCAGCCACCTTCACTTCAAGCTACTGCACAAGTTGGGGGTTTTAGACCTTTATCACTCACCAATTTGAGGGGGGATATTAAGGAATTGATTTGTATATACTGAACAATTGTATTGTTAGTTACAGTGTAGTCAATTAGTTAGTGATTCGTATAGTTTAAGTCTGCTAGTCAACTCCAGTTAAGATTACTAAAGTTAGCTTGTACGGTTAGTTGAGTTAGTTTACTGTAAGTATAAAACTGCTGTAACATTAGTTAATAATTAATTAATATACAGAAAAGTTTTTTCCCCAAATTCATTCCCTTCTTCATCGATTACATCTTCTTCAACATTGTCAAACTGAAAAACAAACCAGATAATGCCCAGATAATTAAGCCAAAAAACTTGATAGAATATCAACTAAATTATCCCATAAATATTAATAGAAAAAGAAAGAATCAGTCATTTTTTTCCACATAAGTTCACTAATTAAATAAAGACAGTATGGTTAATACCTTAAAAATATGGTTACTTTAACAAATAAAGGTTGCAGAATTTTTCTTCCTCGTCCTGAAACTGGTACCAAACAGCTATGTTTTCAACTAAGAATTATTGGATTAAAAATAATGTGTTTTGAAACCAGATTTTGAAAGATCCACAAAATATGTAGACTTAAAAGATTAAGGCCGATATGATGACTAATAAGATAAATATCTAGCCAGTTTTTGCGATAGAAATCATGTTACTGAAAAACGCGTCTGAATATCGATCAATGCATCTTTCAATGAAGGAATTTTCAGACGAACAATGCAATGTTATTCCTGGAATAAAGAAAGCTTAGATGGAAACAACCAAGAAGTACTTCAGAAAAATTGGCCTTAAATAAAATGTTCACCACGGATGAAATCCAAATCCTGAAGATAAAGAAAGCCTACATCAGAGTTACTAGAAAGTGAGTCCCTTCATCCTTCTCTTTCTCTTTACTCTCCCCTTCCCCTTGTGTTTCCTCCACTTCAACTTGCTCAGCCAGTTTCTAACCAACATAACTCCGAAACAAACAAAGACAGATCCAATAGTCCCACTGCAAATAGACACTAGACCTCCAATGTCCATGAATTCCCCTGGCCATGTGGCATGATCACCCATGTAGCTACAACATAAGCCATCGCCATGAAGGCTACAGCCATCCACATTACCTTGTGAGCAACAACCAACAGCTTCATCAGTGATTTTCTTCAAAACAGGATGATGCTGACTAGAACAACCACAATGCATAAAGATATGAACAGTGCAACGTTGTTGCCTATTGCAAACACCTTCAAAGCTGTTGTTCTTCCCACTGTTGATTTTCCCTTCAATGGTCCTTCCTGGTAGACACCACCAGGAGGACTAATGCCTGTGGTGAATGTAACTGTGGCAATCAAAATGGAGATTAGTGTGATTGTGTTTCATGCATTTTTGTAGCACCTCTGTATATGCATCATGATTTTTAGTATGATAATAATGCTTGTACATCTGAATTAGTTCTCGCCTGTGTTTCTTACACTGACGCTTCTGCTCACGCATGGTGGCTTGGGTACTCCACTCTGATGAGGACAGCGGTTCAGATGAGTCGGTACCCTGAACTGTCAGTGTCTCTCTGTCTTCCAGCGTGACTTCTGTATAAATCTCCTCCTCTTCTTCTTTGGGGAAGAAAATTTCCTTATTTTTATGGGCTAGAGACCTGGCATATCCATTTTCTAGTGCATCTTTGGGGAAGAAAATTTCCTTCTTTTTATGGGCTAGAGACCTGGCATGTCCATTTTCTAGTGCATCTTTGGGGATTTCAGGTACCAGTGATTGAGGAAGTTCAATGCCCATTTTACCTTCTGCTTTCATTATCTGGTCTTTAAGGTGCTGATTGCCTGAAGCAGATCCAGCCTGGCTGAGGATGTCAAGGGCGGTATGTCCTTCATAGTTCCGATAATTGATATCTATTTTTCTTTTAAGCAAGATATACTCAGCTAACTGAAACAAGATTAGCATCTTCAATCAGCAGGCAACAGGCGAACTTCAATCAAAAACAAGAACTTGAAAAATGAAATTAGAAGATGGTAATGCCAAACAAAACCAGTATCAAAAATGTGTATGCACTAACAGAAGCTCACAGAGAGAGATCTATACTGACATGATAGTTTTCTTGGGAGATTGCAATATGTAAAATGGTGTTACCAAATATTTCTGCTCTGTGAAGGAGATAGGTGGAACTGAAAAACTCTGTCAAATACATAAGGGCATCACGATGATTGAACCATACAACAAGATGAAATACAGTTTCTGATTCATTTTTTGTATCTGAAAGTATGACCGAGCTGCTGCCATAAATTCCTTAAGGATAGCAACATCACCGTTCATAGCTGCCATATGCAACGGTGTGTATCCATTGTTATCAAATTGCAGACAAGGTCTGAGTCAAACCGTAGAAGCATTTTCGTTATGGCAACACATCCTTTGCTAAAAGCATAGTGCAATGGAGAATATCCATTTTTGTCAATCTTTTGAACCAAGTTTGGACATATTTTCAACAAGTGCGCAACTATATCTGCACCATTGGTTTGATTAGCATCAGTACATGAACAGAACTTGAACTTGAAGCTAGCTAGTGTCAAAGAAACTGTGCAATGCTTTCATTACTTGGAAGACCAACTAAACAGATCAATCAAAGAAAAATTCTTACTTGCATGGCCTTTAGAAACTGCAACATGAAGAGAAGTTAGATCATCATTATCTTCTTCTATCTCCGGCAACCAGGGCTGACTCAGTAAAAGCTTTCCTACTTCCAGACGCCCATTGCGGCAAGCAATGAACAATGAACTTTGTTTTTTAGAGTTAGACCTGCAAGACACCCATGGATTGGTTTCCATTAGTAGCATTACAACATCTGCATCCCCCTGACAACAGGCATTCTGCAATGGAGTCTCCAAGTTCTCATTCTCTGCTGTAGCCATCTCTGGACGCAATTTAATAATTTGCCTCACCAAGTTGATGTGTCCATATTTGTAGCAATGTGTAGTGCTGTGTTCAAGGATTTAGTGGCTCTTTGTACCAGATAAGAGTCAAACTTCCCAAACACCTTATTATCGAACAAATCAAGAAAAAACAGAGTTATAGAAGAAAATTAATTGTTTACAAAAAATAAATTCAAAAGATTAAAACTTCCTTTTGCTTATTTAACGACAACTAATTAAAATGGAGGAAAAGAAATTACCCCTGGCATTATATAAAATTATCAAACGATATAAAACTGATTTCTTGATCTTAAATATTAAATACTTTTAGGATTAGATATAAAAATTTAAAAATATATATAAAGGAGGGAAAGAAGAAATCACCTGTAAATCAAGGATCTGCTGCCCATTTGAAAACTTAAGGAGGATCTCAAAATTTTCAAGAAAGGAAGATGTTTGGGATGTGAGAGATCTTGGGCCAGTAGTCTCCTGTTCCCTTTCCGCATCGTTCTTTTAGAATAGGACATTGCTGAATACTCAATTTCTTCAAAGTCGTCCTCCGGAGAAGGCAGTCTGGCATTGCCTTCAATTTCGAGCAGCCTAACAATTTCAAGGAAGCAAGACATGGCATGATTGTAATATTTTCTTCTTCCTCTCCCTTCTCTTCAATCCTGCAATCCCATTCTTCCCATTCTCTCACAGCCACAAATTCAAGAACTTTCAATTTTGGGAAGAAAATAGTTGATGAAGATGGGACATTGCCTCTATTCCCCAAAATTCATTTCCCAATCTTTTCAAACTCAACATGATAGTTAGATACAGGGATTCAAGGGACGGCAATTTTCCCAAAGGAGGCAAATGTTTACAATGTTTGAAATTCCATAGACTTAAAACCCTCAATTTGGTTAGTGACATCATCCAATTAGGGGAAACCGTGATGCCTCTGAAATACCATATACTTAAAGTCTCTAAATTTGGAGGTGGTTGTAAGGCTTCAAGAACTACTTCATCATTCTTACTTATTGTCTCCCACTCTGTAGTCTTATCGAATTTTAGCATCAAAGTAAAGAGTTTTTTCTTGTTAGTAAGCCCTTCTATTCTCTTAGTCTCACTCCCATTTGTCAAATTACTCAACCCTCTTACGGTAAGTTTCCCTTCAAGATGATTCAAATCTTTCAAACAATCAAGATTACATGCTTTGCTATTACCACCTCCACTTACAGTGAATTCACTTAATGTTCGTAGACAACTTATTCTCTCAAACCCTATAGGCATATATCTTAGTGAGTCAGTCCTCTCATTTAACAATTGCCTCAAGTTTATCAACTTCCCCACCTCTTGAGGTAGTTCCCTCAAATTTATACAATGACTAAGGTCTAAATTTTGTAGATTATACAAACCGCACAAAGTTTCTGGTAGTTGTTCTAAACCTGTACAACCCTTCAGTTTAAGATATCGCAAATGGATCAATTTTCCAATCTCTTTTGGAATCTCACTCATAGGTGAAATAGGGAAATCAAAACACAATGCCCTTAAACATGTCAGTTCACCAAATAACAACTTTGATAGAATATCATTAGGCAATGAATAGGAAAAATCTCCACAACTAATTACGAGACTACGCAACCTTTTGATACTACAAATGGAGATGGGTAATGAAGCCTCTTTGCTAACTGTCAACATTAAATGACGAACTTTCTCTTGATCAAAATAGTTTATCAATGACTCCTCATTACCATGGATTTCTACATTAAAGCATTCATTTCTATTGAGAAATTGGGCAAAGTCATGCACTATATCATGCATCTTACATTGTATAATATTTTCATCAAGATCTTTTACAAACTCTTGGAAGAAAGACCGTGTGGCTAAGTTATTGAAATAATCATGACCAATTATTTCCAATTCTTTGTCTTTTCCAAATCCAAGATAGCCTTGAGCCATCCATAACTTAATCAGAACATCTTTTTCTATTATGTAGTCATTTGGAAAAATGGCACAAAATGAGAAACAACGTCTTATTGGAGAGGGCAAATCGTTATAACTTAACAAAAATGGGGGTAAAAGACCTTTCTCAAACTCTTCTAATTTCCATATTTCACTATCTAAGATATATTGCCACTCTTCTCTAGTTCTTTTGAAATGCAAAAAACTGCCCATGGTCTTTGCAGCAAGAGGCAATCCCTTGCACTTGCTTGTAATTTTCCTACCAATGTCTTCTAGTGGTTCACACTCATTAGGAGACCTACGAAAAAAAGCGAGTCGCTTAAACAAAACCCAGCTTTCCTCTTCAGACATTGTCTTGATGTTGATGATATCGATTGATTTCATCATACATGCAACTGTCTCCTTACGTGTAGTAATCAAAATTTTACTTCCATGGAAACCATGTTTTAGACAATGATAAAATGGTTCCCACTTATTGTAATCTTCTGTCCACACATCATCTAATACAAGAAGAAATTTCTTTCCTTTAATAGATTCATGAATTTTCAGCATCAGAGAATTGAATTCTACTAAATTAGAAGCATTTCCTTCTAGACCTTCAATGATGGCCTTTGCAATCCTATACTCATCAAAAGGATCTGATACACACACCCATATTCTTTTATTGAAATTTTTCATCACTTCATCATCATTGTAGGCAACCTGGGCAAGAGTTGTCTTGCCAATGCCTCCCATCCCTACAATTGAGATGATGTGGAGGTCATTGTCGACACAACCCTCACTCAGCAATTTGCTTACTAAAGCACCCCTATCCTCAACTCGACCACATATCTCAGACTCATCAATTAAAGACGTACTTTGTACTAGCTCTGGTTTCTCGACACTCTTAATCACATTAAAATTAAAAGTGTCTGTCGTTTTCACAATATCAGTCATATTTTCATTTATTTCTTCTATCTTTACAGCAATATCACGACGCAAACCGACTTGTTTGAAACTAAAGCAAACAGAGTGAAAGGGAAAGCACACCTTCTTAGGAACATCCGTATCTTCAAATCCCTCAATGTGCAGTTTGAGTATTGCAGTGTTCCACTCATCCAACACGTCTTCCATATCATAGGATGTGTGCTTGAGCTGATCTAACCACAATCTCACAGCCATCTCCTTCACTTGCCTTTGCTCGGCATCAACCAACACAGCTTGAATGACTTGAAGATTGTTGGTGAGCTTTTTTACTTCTTTGCTGACTCCCGCAACCAGCCTCGCCTCTTGTTGTATTTGTTCTTTGATGATTGAAGTCAACTGCTCCAAGACTGCGGAAACAATCGCCTCAGCCATGTTCAGAATGAGAGACAGTAATTGAATGGAAAAAAGATGAGAAATTGAGAGTTATCAAATATGATACTGAATACTTTTAATTTATAAATAACTTTTCAATTCTTAATTCTTTCTTTGTGCGAACAACCACTACACAGTCAAGTTTGAAACGGTTTCATATCAACCACAGATCCACAATGGGGTATGCCCCTCGCACACGCTGGGGAATTGATAAATGACTAAACAATTTTCACACCCAACGTTTGGCCTAATTCCATTTTCCACCCAGAAAGTTTCAGAATGACACTCCACTACCCACCGTTATGTTCCGTTGTTAGCAATTTTTGTTAAATATACTGTATATTAAATGTAAAGACGAAAATACCCTTTATTATTTGACTTGAAATTTTTTTCTTAAGATTAAATCACAAATTTATCCCTAATTTTTTTGTCCTTCTCTTTCTTCTTCCTCTCATTTCTTCTATCTTTTCTTTCCTTCTATTCTTCTCTTTACTCTCTCCATCGCACCAGACAGCTTTCTCTCTTTCCCCTTCTCTTCTCTTTTCTTCCTTCTTTTTCTTAACTCCTTTTTTTTTTTTTTTTTTCCTAATATTGATGATTGATGTATTTCTTGGCAACATTTTGAGGAAACGTTTTAAGAAAACAAATTCTGATTGCTTTTTTCTTATTGTTGTTGAATACCTTACATTCAGCTGATATATACTGTTTTATCCATTTGGGTCTCAACTGAAGCAGAGAACCATGAAATAGAGCTTTGATTCTAGCAGATTTCATTCAATTTTAGACTGTGGTAAATAATAATAAATGGGTCTAGAAAGTATGAGAAAATAGTGTCATTCGACTCATTCCTTAGTGTTGCAGCAATTAATGAACAATTGAACTTCTGATTGAGCAAAAACATAATTCTGTTTTCAGTATTTGTCAGGTTATAAGAGATCAAGCCATTGACAAGTGAAAAAAGTTGAGAGCAAATTCTGAAGATTATAAAAAATCGCAAAACCACCATATATAGGAAGTTACAAGGTTTAACGAAGTGTTGGATGACCTTAAGGTTCTTATGGAAGTTAAAGATACAGTAACTCATTTGCATGCCCTGAAAAATTGACCTCTACTTACTAATGGAGTTTTCCTTAGTTTATCAATCTTCATAGCTAAAATAAGAGCAGTGTGCGCCATTCCCCTACACATAATAGGAAAAAGGTTCTTTCCAGTTTCAAAAAAAAAAAAAAAAAAAAAAATCTTCAAATGCTCAATTTCAATCAGCTAAATTACATTTGTGAGAGCCAACTGGTGCTAGAGCCTGTTGAGTTGGGATTTGCTTCTCTTGAATAATTCATCCTTTAGAAGCACACTCTGTAACATGAAAATTAAATACAACTATTATTTATAAGATTACAAATTAATTCCATGAATGATTTAATGACATGTATGACGAAATTCTTTCACTATTCAGAAGTTATTTTATTTTTCAGCAAACTTTTCTAATAGCCACCCACCTACTATATTTTTAAGAGTTCTTCTAAAAAAGATACGAAAACAGATATAGAAATCTTAGAGCAGATGGAAAGCTCACCAAGCAAATGTTAAAACCTAAGATTGACAACTTGTTTTATCAGCCACATTTTCTATTTCTTACATTAGAGTTGGTGAACTCTAGTCAACGTTAGGATACCCATTTCTTAAAGGGCAGTGGAAGTATTTACCAGGTTGATTAATGGTTATCAAGTTAAGACATAAATCAACATCCATAAGCAATAAATATAAAGCACACGAGCATATACATGGTTCGGCTAAAACCACTCTTAGCCTACATCTATGGGACCTCGTCCAGATCGAAGCAAATCCACTAAACAACAAACATTACAAGATATAGTTCAAAGTTGATTTTAGCTACAGCAAAGAGAACTTCATGTTCTAATTACACTAAACGCCACCCTCTGAATCTCTAATGTCTTGTCGCTCTAAAGATCTCTTCACGTTGGGAACACGCCCGAAGAACACTTGAGCTCCACCCAAGCTTCACACACCAAAGCCATGATTCAGCATCAGCAATGGAACCAAGTTCTAGCCGCCATTCAACAAGGATGAAAATTTCAGAGCACAAGCAAATATAATATCAAAGGTTAGTTCAAAATACGCAAGAAGGAAGATAATATAATGGATTTTTCTTGCTCAACAATTTGTGTCATGTCAGCAAACAAAGGCTGATTCATGATTGTCCAAATGAGGAAATGATTCCACCTTTATTTTAGGACCACAACCAAATCAAGAAAAAACATGATTTGTCCCTAGACCACAAAAGGATATTGTGACACTTGTAGGTGATCCTTATGATAGCTCAAAAGATGGGAATAAATATCTTAGTTGTTTGGACAAAAACGTAACTTGTGCCAAGTTGATTCAGATATGTGATGTTAGCATAGCAAAGTAGTGTGCTCACAATCGTGATCAGCAGTTGCGATCAAGATGTCTAACGCCAGTGTACGAGCACAATACTGTTGTGCACACATTTGACATGAGCATGCATTGTGCACCCACACAATTGTTGTGCACACATACAGCATAAGTTTGACAAAATATTCTGCAATCCTAAATGAAGTTTTTGCCACTGAACATTTCCTCTGCTAATCAGTAACGGAGTTTTTATATATATACTAGCTTGCCGTGGTAGCATGACTAGTGGATTACTCCTGCATTTTAAAGAAATAACAAAACCAGTCACACAATGGAATGATTTGCTTTCTAACAACCATCAATAAATGATGAAAAACAGAGAGCATTGAAAAAGTATAACTAACCATTTGTGACCAATCATCAATTTATTAGCGGAATCATCCTCGATCAATGTAACAATGACTTGTCATTGCTGTGAATAGAAAGTAACATTCCTTAATAAACAAAATAGCTCTTAAACGTTAAAAAATAGCTAATTATTTTTTGAGAACTAAGACTCTGACCTCTAAGAGGTATTGACAGAGATTATACAGGATACGTTGAGGATGATTGGCCTCTGTCAATTTTCTCCCGTGTGAAACAATGTTCTGTACATGGAAATTCGTGCTGGTTTAGATAAGCTAAAAGAAAAGAATTTTTTTTTAATGTACTGTAACTTTAGGTGGAGAAACTTGATGTAAAGAGCCTCGTACGTTCTTCCAAGCTTCTGTTACACACCACCTTCTGACCTTGATTCTTCAAGAAAATATTGCATGACATGCTAAACTAGCTTCGCTGCATTAAAATCGAAATATCCGAATCAAGTTTTCCTAGTAAGAAATATATTATGCTAGCTCAACAACTGAAAATCACATACATGCAATTGCTTTGATATATAACGACAATTTCTTCATAGCCTTTGTCTTCAGTACTTTATTGATCTGCTGAATGGTTATAGAGCTTTAAATTCTCAGAATAGGTAGCATGTGTGAGAAATGAATTCCGCATATTAAAAGAAAGTATAACTGTATGACAGTCAAAAAGTTCTATGATACACTTCATGAATGGAACATAAAAAAAAAAAAAAAAATGAAGAAAAAAAACAGACCAGTGACCAAGCATAACTAACAAATTGATCTTTGCTGCAGGCACACCATTTGAGTCCATTACAGATAATTATCAGCATATTTAGCCTTAGTAGCAAATCAATATCTGCATGTAAAAAAACACAACATAACCGGGGTAAAAGTTTCAGTGTTATGCTTTTTTAATTGAAGATAAATAAATGAAAGAATAGAGAGAAGTTACCAAGCATAACTAATTAATTTGTCTTCAGGGTACCATTCTCCACAATACACAATTTTGGGATTCTTTTCCAGGCTTAAATTGTTCAACCTGGTAGAAAGCTGAGGATGTTATATTGGGATGAGAAAAACTGGAATCAAGAAGAGACAGTGTGAGCTTTCATTTATTCAGGAAAACAAAAAGTATTTGCAGCATATACATAAACTAGAGAACACAGAAACATGACTCAAAGCAAATCAATCAAGATTCTCTGTCATAATCAGTAGTAAGAAAGATAGTCATGTCTAATTATAATGTGTGGGATAAACCAAAGATACCAAAAGCTAAGAGAAAATGTAAAAACCCATATATAGAGAGAACATAAGAATTAGTTGAAGAGGTAAGCAATGGCCAGCTACTCAAATCACATGCCTGCTACAAATTGCTGCTGCTACAGCAAGATCCCCAGAGTCTCTTTCGGCCACCCCCTAACAACATTTAGAAATATGGCCTGGTGTAAAAAGATTTAAAAGAACAAAATCAAATATAAAAGTAAACAAAGAAGTAAAAACAGTAGGCCATACAGTAACTAGAAAAATAACATAACCACAAAGCTTATGGCATCTCTAAATAAAGTACAGCAATGAAGGGTCTATTAGGTATTTTCCATTGCTTACAAATACCATATATTTAGACATGAAAATCGCCAATGCATCTGGTGAATGTATGATTGTATGTATAACAATTTAGAAGTACCAATTTCAAAATATTTATTATGCCTGCACTGTGCACATGTAGATCAAAACAAAGGAAAGAATGAATTATAGAAGACCTAACATTGTAAAAGTCCTTTTGAAATTATGGGAGAAAAGAGTAAATAGTGTAAGGAAATCATTTAGGAAAAGATAAATAGTATGTTAAGAAACTTACGTTTCTCTGAAGCTCGCAGACCAGCTTGCTCCATGAGAACCTATAATCCAGAGAGAAATTGTCACAATTGATGCTTTTGAATGCAACATGCTAAGATTACTGTTAGACAGAAGTATAAAATACATTAAATCAATTTGGAAAAGTAACATCATAACAAATGAGTCTGAACTTTTAAATGTCCTAAAAAGAAGATATGGAAATAACATTTTGAATACCATTTCTGAAATGAATACCATACTGGATATGATGAATTAGGTTTTGTTGATGTGTGATCATTTAAATATAAGGTATATTTAGCAGCGCTTTTTTTTTCTGTTTCAAAACTTTTTCAAGAATGTGTACAGAGCACAAGT